AGGACTCCAAAGCTGGACACAGTACTCCAGGTGGGGTCTCATGAGCACAGAGTAAAGAGGCAGAATCACCTCCCGAGACCTGCTGGCCACACTTCTCCTGATGCAGCCCAGGACACGGTTGGCTCTCTGGGCTGCCAGCATGCACTGCCGGCTCATGTTGAGCTTCTCGTCCATAAGCACTCCCAAGTCCTTCTCCTCAGGGCTGCTTTCCAGCCATTCTCCACCCAACCTGTATTTGTGCTTGGGGTTGCCACGTCCCAGGTGCAGGACCCTGCACTTGGCTTGGTTGAACCTCATGCAATTTGCACGAGCCCACCTCTCCAGCCTGTCCAGGTCCCTCTGGATGGCATCCCTTCCCTCCAGCGTATCAACTGCGCCACCAAGCTTGGTGTCATCAGCAAACTTGCTGAGGGTGCACTCTATCCCACTGTCCATGTCACCAACAAAGATGTTAAATAGTACTGGTCCCAATACCGACCCCTGCAGAACACCACTCATAACTGGAAGCCACCTGGACATTGAGCCGTTGACTGCCACCCTTTGGGTGCAGCCATCCAGCCAGCTCCTTATCCACCGAGTGGTCCATCCATCGAATCCATGGGTTTCCAATTTTGAGACCAGGATGTCGTGTGGGACAGCGTCAAATGCTTTGCATAAGTCCAGGTAGATGACATCAGTTGCTCTGCCCTTGTCTACCAAGTCTGTGGCAGTATCATAAAAGGCCACCAAATTTGTCAGGCACGATTTGCCCTTGGTGAAGCCATGTTGCCTGTTTCCAATCACCTCCTTATTTTCCATGTGCCTTAGCAGAGATTTCAGGAGGATCTGCTCCATGATCTTGCCAGGCACAGAGGTGAAACTGACAGGCCTGTAGTTCCCCGGGTCTTCTTTGTTTCCTTTTTTGAATATCGGAGTTATGTTCCCTTTTTTCCAATCAGTGGGAACTTCACCAGACTGCCACGATTAGCTGCTGTACTTTAAGCCTTTAAGATAGGGATATTGCCCCATCTATTATCTGTATAGAAATGAAGCCTAGCATCCTAACGCCACCATCCTAAGCATCCTTCCCTGAGGCTGTCTCATGAGTTCTCCTACCCTGCACGCCCAAAAAGCACCTAGCGACGACACTAGTAAGAGAACTACAAACATTTGTACAGAACAGAAGCCTTTTCTGTGGTCATTTTATGGAAATGTAGGATGCTCCCAGACCAAAGATCAAGCAGAAGGGTTGTTATCCACCTCCAAAAAAACCCAAAGACTAAAAAGAGCTAGACTAACTTATTAGTTACTTTGATATCTTCCCAGTTGTGCCTGCTGCCTACTTATATTCATCGTGCCACTGTTTTGCCTTCTTCTGTGAAACCTGCAGTCAGAACCAGATTTCTGGTTCTGGTCAAAGTAAGCCCTTCAAAGAGAACATAAGGCAATGAAAAGACATATGCCAGATCAAAAGAAACCAAAAACCCAGCTCTGGATGTAAAGCAGGCGGAAAAATGGTTAAGAATTCCCCAGAACAGCCAAGACAAATGCATATGGGTCATGTTTTAATGACTATTTGGTAGGTATTTGAATAGCTGATGAAACTCTTCACACGCAGCCCAGAGAAACCCAACTGAGTTAGAGAACAAACGTAACAGGAACATTTTTCAAGTGACATGCAACTCTCCTCACCCATGGCAGAAGCTCATCTATTTTCTTAGACCTATTTTGGGATATTACTACTACAGCAAGCGCAGCATGTACCAGGTCTATAGATCTCAACAGCTACCACCACACTGTAGCATCAAAAGCTTAAACTTAAGCTATTGTTCGTCTTTCAATAACACATGAGATGAACAACAGCCAAATTACATCCCTCTGTCATCAACTTGAACTGAAGTACTTCTGTCAGCAGCAGGAAAATTGCTACACTTCAGAGCAAATAAGGACTGAAAAGAAAGTTGTGCCACGATGGCACAGCGCTGGATGCTTAAAATGCACTCTATAAATGCTGCTCTCAAGGCTGCAACCTAAAGCAATTGTTGGATCAAAATGAACGCTCAATGCACCTCTCCCTAGCTCTGGAGGAGGCTCTCACAAACCCAGTGTTGAAAACGCATCTTGCGGCTAAAACAGACGATGGGAGCAACCATAATAGAAAAGCATAAAATTAACATCCTTGCTCAGATTCTTACACTTAAAGTTTGTAGTCAGTGCAAATTGAAGACATCCCATTTAGTGCCTTCATTTAACCTTCTTCATACCTTGCTTGATGCTATCAATGCTATAAAAAAAGAGTATGCTAAGAAATCCACTCATCACACCACCATTTATTCACCAGAGTATTGCCCAAGTCTACAAGGGCAGCAGAATCTGTCCCCTGGAAGAATAATTACAAAGATGACCAATAAACCATAAACTTATGACCTTCATGTTTTCAAGGAATCTGTAATATTTGTCAACAGCGGAATTTAGCGTCACATCACTGGATGAGATATATTCAGTAAAAAGGCCTGGAAAGTCTTTGTTTATAATTAAGCAGTAACGATTGAGGGCCAGGGCATTTCCTGGGGATTAATGACCGGCTGGGAGAGTCGATGGCTTGAGGCAATGCCTTGGGCCATTAACCCCAACCAGTCATTAATTTCCCCAGGAAATGCCCTGGACCTCGATTAGCGTAACTGTTATAAAAGGTAGCTAGGGAGAAAAAGTTTAGCGTTAACATTCTCCAAGAAATGGCCAATATTTTTTCATTTTGTCACATCCCAGTAGCAGTGCATAAGTTAAAACTGACACAAGAGGAATCAGTGATTAAAAGAAAAAAAAAGGAGAAAAAAGACACTTTTCCTTCTCCTAAAGACTTAAATTAATGAGTTTTGTAGTGAAGGCAAGATTCAGCTACAAAAGTGGCTGGGCAGCTTGTTTAGCTCATTAAATTGTGAATGGATATGAACATTTCTATATAATTACTGAAAAAAAACCCAACCCACACTGTCTAGTATCCTCGCTGATTGCTCATTTTCTTTCTTGATACACAAGAAAACAGCACATGCCTGCGCACTCTGTCATCTATTCTAGGTATTTCTCCCTTTCTCCCCATAACCTGCCACTAATGAGAATTACAGCTCCAAATGCCTCCCGTAGGAAGTGCAGCTCCGCAACAAACAGGACAGAGCAGCTGGATTTCTCCTCACCTAAGCTTTTATGCAAGTGTGAAGAGATTTGTGGGCCGGGGTAGAGGTCCAGCTCTCCAGCCCGATGACTGAAGGTACCAAGACACCTCATTTAAAAGGTTAAAGCACACATAGTCTGTTACTGCTAACTGGATCAGAACTGCTCTGCCCGGTTCCCTCTTCCCCTGCTCTCCTGCTCTAAAGAAAGCTAAACTGCCCCTGAAGTTTCAAAATTACTTTCAAGGTCATCAAAAGCAAGGGAAAGAGGAGTCCAGGGTTAAACACAGCAGAGCATTAGCTTATACCTGAAATAATGAGCTAGAACAAAAACATTATCTGCACATAATCAAGCCTCCAAGCCATTCAGAGACACCAGATACACACAGCAGGAGATCAAACTACAGTACTCCACTGAAGTGGTCAGAAAAAAAAAAAAAAAAAAAAAAAAAAAGAAAAACCAACCTAGCACCCTGCTAGAAAGGAGAGGTCACAGGTATTTTAAAGAACATAGACGCTTATGCAGGCATTCACTGGAAGCCCCCTCTCCCCCACCTCCCACCCCCCCTCCCAGTTTAGCCTTCAGGCTGGTTGATTAGCTGGCAAACTCTTTGAAAGGGTCAGTCTGTCCAGAACTGGTATTTCCACTTGGGAAACAGCTCAGGCATGTCATATACCTGTGCTGGCCCATGACAGCCCTGTTAGTACCTGACACAGGAATGTCGCGGGGGGTTTTGTAACCGCGCAGGGCAGCCAGCAGTAAAGCTCTTGCCTGAAACACGGTTATTTTACAGGGCACGACGTAACCACGTACTCTTTATAGACTGATTTAGGAGGACTGCCAAACTTCAAGCCAATCGCAGAGGTACGGAGAGCCTTTAATTGAAGTAATTTAGCTCCAGCGCTCAAACAACCGAAAAGGAAAGGACTTTTGGAGGGGCCAGGGAGCAGGCACCGGCACGGGCTGGCACATGGCGGGGGACACACACACAAGGCACAGCATTAAGGCACAGCTCAACAGGGTTTTTTTTTTGACAAGACCGCTCTACCTCAGCGAAACACACCTAACGAACTTGGGTTCATTCCACAGTTCAGCTGCACCTAAACCCGTTCTAATTGTGCTCTTAACTGTCTATTTCGCCACTATGGTAACTGACACAACTGAAGCCAATTTGCCTTATAAAGAGGAAAAAAAAAAAAAAGGAAAAAAAGAAGAGGATCACTGCCAGGAAACAGAGCTATTTTAAATAAACAAATACAAGATGAATGCAATTGCCGTATTAACCCTCTTGTTAACTTCTGAAGTTTAAAATTACACCCTCATTACTAGTGTGTAATTGAGTATTCTCCCGGCTGTTTCCTGCATTTGAGGTTATTCAAATAGTTCATTAGCACATCAAGAACACCACACACACTAATGATACCTGACGCCCTTATCTACTATTTTGGCCCGACTTCCATAACTCACATCTCCCACAAAAAGCGAAAAAGGGGAAAAATAAAGAAAAAGGAGGGACAGGGGGAGCCCGTGGGACTGAGCTGCCGCCGAGGGGGAGCGTGGCAGCACCCGGGTACCTCTTGCATCTGACCCACAGCCACCAGCCTGGTGGCATGGGGGTGAGGAAGAGGAGTTACTCACGTCGGGTTCGTCGGGTGCCTGAACAGTGAGAGTCACCCCAGGAGCCACCCCCAGGCTGGCAGTGTGCATCGGTGCCCAGCCTTGGGGGGAGACAGGGAAGAAAAGAGGGGTCCAGTGGGGGCTATGTGGGATGGGCAGGGTGCAGGGTTGCCAGTTTTTGGGGTTTTTCTTTTTTTTTTTTTTTCTTTTTCTTTTTTTTTTTTTCCGGTTACCTGTGTGGGGGAAACAATAGCAGGTGAAACTACTGTGGGTGAGGTGGTGCTTCTGTGCCCATTGGCTTCAGGGAGGAGGTGAGGCAGGGGGTCGTGTTTCACTGAGACCACCACCACGGCAGGCGCGGCGGCGTCCAGGGGCTCGGCGGGGCGGCGGCAGAGTCTTTTTGGGGACGCGGAGGGCCCGCAGGCATCGCCGCCGGCCGCGGCCCCCGCTGGGAACACCACCTCGTAGAGTGCCCGCTTGGCCGGGGCCACCGCGGCCGCTTCCGCCTTCACCGGCGCGGCGTCACCGTCTTTGGGCAGCACGTAGGGGTTGGCGGTGGCCGGCCGGGGCCGCGGTCCACCGTTGAGGGCAGCAGGGGTGTAGCAGCCCCCGCCAGCGGGGTGGTGGAGGAGGTGGTGGTGGTGGTGATGGGGAGGGGGGTGGTGGTGGTGCGGTGGCTGTGGTCCCCCTAGCTTGGTGCCGATGCCGGCAATGCTGTTGAGGGTGGCGATGGAGACAGCGCCGATGCAGTGGTTGGTGTAGGTCTTGGAGAGCTTGGCCGCCTTGGAGAGCATCTGCATGCGGGTGCCCAGGAGGTTCTTGCCGATGGCCTTGTTCTCGTACCAGGTGATGTCACCCTCACTGCAGTGGTCCCGCGGGCGCTGGAAGAAGGCCTTGCAGAGGGGGTTGCGCTTGGAGAGGTACTTGACAAAGCTGGCGTAGGGGCAGAACTCGGTGCCAGTCTCGTACATGCGGGGCAGGTTCTCCTCGTCGCTGCTCTCCGCCCGCTTCTTGCTCCAGGAGGATGAGCGCGACTTGTGGTAGGGCCCCAACGCCTTGAAGTAGACGAACTTGCGCCCATCTTCATCCACGGCCAGCCCAAAGGAGTCTTCCTCCAGCTCCCGCTGGTTCTCCCGGCCCCGGGTGCAGAAGTACATGCAGGTCTCAAACCAGACCTTGTTGAGGAGCCCGAAGGGGCTCTGGGTGCTGAAGACGCTGCAGGTGTAGAGCTTGCGGAGGTCGGCGCGGGTGATGGCCTGCTTCTGCACCACCGGCCCGGCGCCTTGCTCCTCCAGCTTGCGGATGACGGCGGCCAGGGTGAGGTTGGCGGCACGGAGCTCGGGGTCCTTGGTGAGGTCGAGGGTGCGGCAGTAGGGCGGCTCGTTGAGGTAGCGGTTGAGGGAGCTGCGGATGCTGATGAGGGAGGACTTGGAGTAGAGCTGCCCGCTCTTGGAGCGCGCCTCGGCGTAGAAGGAGCGCAGGACCCGGCAGAGCGCTCCCTTGTCCATCGTCTCGAAGTCGGGGCTCTGCGCCTTCTCGCTCAGGTACTCGCGGAAGATGCGCACGGCGTAGCGGGTGGCCAGACGCGTGTTCTCGCTCAGCCGCGCCCGCTCCGGACGCTGCAGCAGCAGGGCCGCCTCCAGCTCCGCGTCCTCCGCCGCCCCCCCGGGGCCGCCACCACCGCCGCCGCCGCCGCC